CAGTATGCTTGTTTTATCAGCCCAGTAAATTGTGTTCACTCTCTTCCCCCGTAGTCCATTCACGCGAATTTGTTTTGGTTTAGGCTATTGAGACGTGAACGTGCGCGACCATCAGTACAATCCCCGGTGAGTGAAGTGAACGCACGTCTGCTCAATGTGCCAACGCTCCTCGCCCGCCAGTTCCGGCCGGAACAGCCGTTAGCATCTGGCAACAGCGTTGCCATGGCACCCGCTGTCTGTTGTCTGCCTCCATAACGGTTTTGAGAAGCGCGCGTTCAAAACTAAGCGCTATTCCTTCCGCTCCCACTCTGTTTGGCTGGCAGATCACTCGTGTTTATACGTGAATCTTCAAGTGACTATTGAGCGTGTCACATATATCTACTACACTTACAGTTGTGACCATGTTCCACTATGCAGCTCGGGAACTTTTTTTACTTTGTTTTACTAAAAAAAAACAGCTTTATTTGCGTCACATGATCAGGAACTTGTGTAGTTTGACTGGAATCTGTGAGTTCGTCATACTTCAAATCGGCTTGGAATCTCGTGGCTCTTTTCCTGTCAGTAAAAGTGCGTACGGCCTTGAAAGTTTTCAAGTTCGCTTCTGTGGAGAACACGTTTAATTGTGACGGTAGAGGAAGACGATGTCTAAGTATTGTGTCAAAATCTAATGTATTTTCATAATTTTTTATTAATTAATGTTATTACTTGCACATTGCTATATTACTTATCACTCGTAAAGAAAATAATTAATCTTTTGATGTCACTGTACTTCATGTCGAATATAATACGAATAAATTAATTCGAAACAATCGAAGGAAAACGTTAAATGAACACGGGTATCTCTAATTGATACTTTACTTCCATTTCGATTTTCTCTGTTGCCGCCAAAATTTTAGTATTCTAAATTCTAATCGATACTTGTGTCATCTATCACATTTAATTAATCCATTTATGCAGCATATGAGACGGGAGCAGTAAGCACATCGTCATTAACTTATCTATTCATAAACTCGTTATCAAAAATAAATGGGATTTAATATTTATTGAATTCTGATTGTTTTCGTTGCTTGCGATTTTTTTAGCCGTTGAAAATTGAGACGACTTGATTCAATACCATTTACCAATGACTACAGTGGTGCTCCTAATTCCTACTTATAATACTCGGAGTGGTAATAATGAAAATTGCAATGAGATACCGAGTCTAGTTATAATTGAACTTCGCGCAGAGTTCATAACAAAAACAGTAGTTTAATGGTATGTGATTGATGCATCTAATATGCGTATTGTTATGTCAGTAACAGTAAGCAATGCTAAATTATGCATTTGTAACGGCATAGTCCACGGCTCAACGGGTCCATCCACGCCATCCATTGCTGTGCTGGTTAGGTTAGGTTAGTACAACTCAAGCTGCTGCGTGAGCAGGATGTGCGCGCCCATGTTACCAACCTCACCTCTTGGTCTCTTCAAGGCCTTGATCGCTGCCAGGTCACGACGAAAGCTCTGCTGACTTTGAAACTTGAATAGGGATGATTATCTCGATTTTTTTTACGTAGCTCTGTTGTTGGTCTGACGCTTTGGAATGCAGCCGTTCATGGCCGTGCAACTAATATATGTGACACTGAACGCGTACCCCTACTAAATTTCTAGTAGAATATACGTGCTTAATCTCAGACCGTAACGTCCATTTAAAGAAAGCGACACGCCAGTCCTCAGTGAAAGTGAACTTCTCGATATCATCTTTGTGCATTCTCGAGATTAATCACATTGATGAATAAAACGTGGTGAACCATTCAGTTAAGTCCTAATTAGCAAATAGCAATGTTATTGCTATGAATTCATTTATAGTTAACTGTAATTGTTAACTCCTTGTATTTGAGTTGGTTAAGTTACTTTAATGTCTAGGTACAGCAGCAGCTGGAGATGTGATCGTCGATATCTGCATCTATTGCAATTCAGACACGATTCCTAGCAACTGTACACATGTTATTTAATATGTTTCTTGCTATCAGTTGGTCATCTTCGTTTGTATTCGAGCTTCGTACTTCGTAGTGCGTGTCATTAATAATGATTCTATCTTCACCGTAACCCCAAAGCCTTTGATTTTGTTAATGAGTAAAGTTATTACGATTTGGTTTGTGCCATACCTGGTTTGGTTTGTTCTTGAAGCTTCTTTCTTTTCTAATGCCCAATGAATAACTTTATATAGTTTGGTAGAGTACGTAGGTAGTACCTCAATGTATGATTCATTAGAAAAGTCCTCGCTACAGTTCCACCAAAAATTGCTAGGTATCCAAAACTTGGTCTGTGATTCCCTCCTAGACATTACGTTTTTTTGCAATCGATTGTATAATTTTATCTGCATTATAGTACTGTGATTATCTTCTTTCTTTTAATTAGATTCTAAACTTCGTTTTTATTGCGTTTATGATTGCTGTGAAATAGCCAGAGGTTAAACACTAAAATGACTAGCTAAACAAGCGATCACAAATCGGAGCTTGGGCTGATAATGTTAAGCTTCTTTGAAATCGATTGTAAGGAAATTCGAACCTTGATAGCCCATATTACCGAGATTATTTTCCGGCTGCCGTGATGCATCCATCCGCGGTGTGCACCTTGAGTCATGCTTCCTGTTGAGAATTGTTTGCCTACGTTGGTGCTCCGGCGTTGTGCGGCCATCAAACATAATGCAACTAATTGCCGAAATAATCCCAACTCCTCTAGAATATTGTCCATTTACTGATGATAATCATGACAGCCAATATAGTGAGTCATTACGGAACTTCGTCACTCAAATATGCTGCAACTTTTTGAGCGAACTACGATTACGGAAACATGTTCGTTTCTTTCTTTTTCTCGTATTGATAAATTCGGTTCGTTGTTTTATGGGTTTAGGTTCTTCTATCGTGTCTTGGGACTAACTTTTTATATGGATGCTTAGGCATCTAGCCATCGTCGTTGCGCATAGGCGCTCGATCACAGCATACTCGTATGTGGTTCTCGAGAATCGTTCAACATGAGTCTTTATTCATAATGTGCCAGGATTCTCCCAGTTTATTAGCGTCTTGCGGATGTAAATTTCCATTTCATTCTCACTCTCGCCTTGTCCTGCATTGAAACGTGCCTCAACTGAAGACGGCCTCTGCTGTATATGTTAAGAATAACTAATATTTTGGTCATGGATTTAGCTCTTTCGTAAGTACATCCTGGAAACTACCTCGATGTTAGTTGTGGTTTCTCGACAGGAGTTCATACCTCAGTACGGAAACGCCTGGTTATCATCTCATGTTTATTTTTTTCGTTTAGCGCCTCATCCCTATAGTTAGCTCCCAAATTTATGCAGCGCTCAGCAATTCTTAGTCTATTGAATTACTGCCAGCAATTACTTAAGCTGATTGTTCGTTATATTTCGGCCAAAAAAATGTCGGGTGAAATTGTCTTGTCTGCGCTGCGTCGGCGTATAGCGCCAAGCTATTCTGGTGAGACGTAAACAAGACGCTCTGCGTGTAACGTCACTTGCACCTTCCGGTGTTCGAGATCCACCACACTCGCTCATGTTGAGCACATCAGCCTATAATGTACCGGTATTATGGTACCCGATGAAAAATGTTATTGTTTTCTAGATCATACACACACAAACATTACAATGAGCATTGGGTATCCCTTATTTGAATTTTTAGGTAAAATTTTGAAGATTTTTTCCTTTGGAGGGAAGTGTTATCGAGAATATTTGAATTCAGCTAATAACATACCATTTGAAGACCAATATATTTTTATCACATAATTGCTATTGATTGGTACTTGGTTCTGTTCTGTGGTTTAATAGTGTCATCAATTGTAGGTATAATAGTGTCATTAATGTGTCCTGATGATAGTACACATTTATAGATGTCATTTTGATTAATAAATGTCATCTAAAACTTGTTCACCGTCTAGTGTTGCAAGTCTGAGCTCAAGGTCCATGAAAGTGAGACATGTCAGCTTCATGTTGCATCGCTCTCGTGTGTTGCTCTCATGTGCTGCTTGCTCTCAGCTTCTTCAGCCGTTATTTCTCACTCCCAATATCAACTTCACTAATATCGCGGTCGCCCGAAGTATTTTGGACTGGAAAGCACACTGTTCACGTTTTTATTATCGTAATGATCTCACCATTTTTAATGTCAATGATCCAACTAAATATTTCTTGTACTTCAATTGCAATCTATATCGTTTCGTTTTCTGTCCTGCCAACAGATGTTCAGTCCTACATGTACACATTGACGGTTGTCTGCTTGTCTTGGGCCGGATATCCTAGCTTTGAATTCTTGTCCACAATGTTCGTGTTGATATGCATAGGCCGATGTTCTACTACATTTGCCTCGAGTGTTTAGACTTTAGCATGTAGAGCAGCGATTGAGCTGCTGACCGCATGCTACTATTTCACTCATTCTCGCTGCACGTTTCGAGTTTCGTCTCGCTGAGACCTCTTCTAATACACATTTCACATAATATGTCATTCTTCATTTCAACTCTCAACCAGTTTGAACGGAACATTGAAAACTTATTAGCGGCACAAGGCATGCACTTGTTTGTGACGCTCGTTGATTAATCACGTCATATCTTTGGCTGACGGTAATGTTGGCTGACGGTAATGTTAGATAAGTTATGAAGTTTTTTACTTCAATGATTAGCGCCTTGATCGAAGCGCCTGTTATGCTACCAATATTCCAATCTCCGATAGCATCTTCAAAACGAAGGCCGAAATTTGTGCAAGAGCTAGAAATTTAAGCTAATAATATCATTTATTTTCAAAATTGTTACGTTCATATCTATAATGAAATAATCACGATTTCACCACAATTTTCAGTTCCATTAATACAAGATCATTGCAATTTGTGGCTGGGATTGTGTTCGTAATTTTGTTGTGGCGGGACTGGAGACGGAATGATTATTTATACAAAAACTCTGATCCTGCATTGTGTATCAATCCTTATTCCAGTGCATTGATTCCAGTGCATTGATTGACACAAGTTGGTTTGTGCCATTGCAAGTTACGGGGGCTGAGCAGCTCCACAACTAACTGCTATCAACAAATAATTCAGGGCAGAATTGAAAGGTCATCATTTCCATTGCGTGTTGCCGAGTGTTGTGTTGCGGATAACTATAGAATTTCAGCGTGGAAGTTTCACAAGAGCAATTGGCTGAATGCTGAGCCGCTCAACTGCGCAGCTATCCTGTTGTTGATCGGGTGTGCAATGCCACTTGCATTGTTGTGCTGCTCACTGTCGCCATGACCATGACCAAAAACACTGGCAACGCTCAGTTGCCTCCCACTGGCTTCATCAATGGTAAAACTACCACCGCTAAAAAAGACGCCAAAAACTCGAAGAAAAAGGCTAATGACACACCAGATCTAAGCAGGTTTGTTTCTTGTGCTCGCTTATTAGTAGTTACGTATGATTTCTCGTTATAATTATACTAGTGTTTAAACTTGTAGCGGTCATTCATGATAGGTTGTGACTACTGATTTATTTTGTTGATAATGAAATTATTTGTATTACAAGAATGGGACAAGTTGCCATACTAATTACCTGTGTTTCATGATTTGTGTGGCTGTAATAATATACAATTGAACCCTGCAGTTAGCAGTTCCCATGGATTACTGTTGTTTCTAGAGCCTAGTTTATTGACAATGTAATTCGAAAAAGTGAAGTTGTTTTTATTTGGCCTGCAAATATTGTTCCTCGGCCTGATTATTGTCGAACGCATCGGTTTAATAGCTGTTTTTCAGTTTTAGCATCAGACCATAACTTTCAAACTTATTTGAGTTCTTTTTTTGATGCCTCCTAAACAGGCAGTTTGGAGAAGTTCCTTTTCCATCGTTCAACACATCCATCTGAATACTTTTATATCGTTAATCCATTAATGCCGAGCGGTTCCTTTTTAAACCAGCGGGAAAAATGGATTCATGATAATATTTAATGATCAATTAAATATAGAATTGGATGCGTAGGTTTGATAAACATCGTGTACATGTTCTGGCAATGTTTTTTTCTGCTGCGTCAACTACTCCCTGTTCAGTTAACATTCAAAGATAAAAAGAACCAAGTGTTAGACAGGACGGCTTGATATCATAGCTGAGAAAGATGAGTAATTCGTTCTAAAAATATATTATTGATGAGTTAGATGCAGAATTATATTGATTAAGTGAGTACTTTTAATGCTGTATATGGTATTGCGTGATACAATGTTTCTAAAGTCATTTAGATGGTTCCAAATGTTCCAAATGGGGCCAAGCTATAATAATTTTTCACATACAACGAAAAATGAATATTTGAACATATTTTTTATTTATTACCACCACAAGTGATAATATTCTCACAGGAAACCAAAGAAAATTTCAGAAAATAATTCTCGGCATTATTGGGTTAAAAAAGATGAAGTCCTCGCCCTGTACAAGCATGTAGTGCTTCAACACTCTGGCCAGGGGTTTCAACTTCAGAGAATCATTGAAGGCGACATCTATTTTAGAGTATTGAAGATGAACCGAGGTGCAGGAGATGCTCCAGGGAAGTCCGCGTGCGGAATGCGTGTAGAAGTTGGTGGTATGGCGGTCGACCGCTTGTCTCATAGCGCCGGAAGCCGGAGCTCGACGCTCCAAATGAGCCGGTAATATGCGGCTGGATCTCTTCCATGGAAACCATGCGTGATTCCTCTTATAATATGCCGTAAGATGCGTCCAGGTTCTTACGGTATTCCGAACTTTGTCCACAATGTTTGTGTTGATATGCATAGGCTGATGTTCTACTACATTTGCCTCGTGTGATTAGCATGTAGAGCAGCGATGAATTGTATCCTAGAACGCGCCGTATATGTATTGCAATTACACAACATTGTTTAGGTTTTTAACCCTTTAGTGGGCAAGCATTGAAATATATAGAAATTAAAATGTCAGAAACCATTTCAAGAAAGTAAGAAGTATTATACAATAAATTTATTTCTATTAATTTTTGCAAATTTTGCCTATTGAAGGTTTAAATTGCACTTGAAGAATTCAATAAATGCGATCAGTACACAAAATTTTTCTTTATAATTAAAATTCAGTTTATGCAATTGAAAAATTAGAAACATAAAAATTTAATTTAATTAAATTGAATCAAGCTGCCAAAATAAATAAATATATATATTGCTACTTCCACCTTTTGAAGAAAATGCGGAAAGAGCGTCAGTTCCATTGTCTGAGTCAAAACCTTCATTTAAATGCTCATATTTCAATTTGTGGACTTTGCAGCTGGTGATGATATAGAAAGAACGATGGTCAGATAATTAGTGATTGACTGAGGCATTATAAGGATGTCTCAAAAACAAACAGGAAGCCGTGGTGAGGCTTTTTGTGATGCGATTTCAAGTGATCATATATGGTAACTTACCCGTGAAAGGGTTAAATGTTGCTCGTCAAATAATTGACATTGTATTTCTTTGTACGTACTTACCTTTGTTGGTCTTCTTATAAGAACTTTAACCCCAACCCGAATCGGTTTAGATTTAGCATCCCTACGGAGAGTCTTGCCAGTAAGATTTACAACACCGGAGTCCATCCTTCCTGCAAGGCGTCCCAAGTGAGAAAAATTTCCAGGTCTCATCCTTCCAACATGCAGTATACGCTCCCAGAAATTTCCTTTAAACTTGCGAGTAATTTAAAGTTTAAACGAATGTATTATTGATTGCTGCATTGCTTTAAACGTATCGCTTTTGCGGTTAATATCTCATTTTATTTGTGTTATCTTGTTACTTATACTTTCTCAATAAGTCGAAACTGACTAACGAAGCGACAACATGTACCCTTACATTTTCCATTATTCGAGTTGCAATTGCAATACTTTTTTCCGCTTAGCTCCCAAAGTTTGTTGTGTTTTAGCATATCCAATGAATCTATCTTCTAATGACAGTTACGTTAACATAATGGAAACGATTAGAATCAACTGCTATTATAAAGGGTTAAAAACACGGCGGTTAATGTGTCCGTAAGCAATGGAATATAAGCTTTATGGCTCGGGAAAATGTTTAATCTATATCTTAGAGTTGAACTGATTATGATTTTGCAAGTGTCATTAGGTACTACCAAAAATATTTTGCAAGTGTCATTAGGTACTACCAAAAACGCTTTATAGGTGAGCAGAACCGCTTTCTAGCGTTGTTTGAATGATAGACGGTGTAATATTTTGGAGATGAAGTGCGCATCTCTCCGTGCGGATTTTTCCCCGTCTCGTTGATAGCATACGCACATACCATCGTAATACCTTGATCCTGGTTGGATAATTCTCCGTATAAGGGATTGAAAAAATATTGATATCATATTTCTTATCCCATACTTGACATGTAGGTAGAATTGCCACACGTTCCTTTCAAGGAACGTTCCTTTCAAGGAACGTGTGGCAATTGATCATATTTCAAAAATTCATCATAAAAATGACTCGTTATCTTTCAACTTGACAAGCTGCTCATGAATGCAAGCTTCCCCTTGCATTAATATTCATGAATGTCGTGTGGCGACGTGCCCCTGAAGGCTTCTCTTCCTATAAACGAGCTCGTTGATAGCTGCCATCATCGAAGTTCATTCACAGACGTCCAGAAAATTACTTCACTTCCATCATATTAATTAGCTTTCAGGTAAAAATATTTTGAATACGAATAACATGTTTAATTTATTTTAATTCTTTACGTTTAAACAGTTCATCGTTATTCCATATTCAATTAGGCGTTTTAATTCTTTTCTTTTAAGCAGTTCATCGTTATTCCATATTCAATTAGGCGTCATAAAATAGGATATGTTAATTCAATCGGTCGTTAAAATGCAAAGTTAGACATTTTTAATTGTCACGAACATGCCTAGTAATCATATTCAAATGTAAAACTATTCTAGAGAATTTTTGGTAATTATATGGAATCTTTGATATCGTGTTTGGAATATTGTGTGCTGTCCGTGCTGAGTTATTACGGTCTTACATTTGAGGTCTTACATTACCTACAGAAAATTAAACGAATACTCGCTGTCCCGGGCCTCTTATTTCATTAAGTTGAATATTCGGTAACTAAAACATGTAGCTTGATGTGAACGATTTCTAGCGTGAAATATGTTACTTTGTGTGTGCAAAAATCAACTATAAATAATAGAATTTATGTGTTGAAGCATGATACATGTCCTCGTTACCGTGGTGACAAGGTCGTATCCTTCGCTAGTGCCGCTGGGACGAAGGAAGTGTCAGATTTTGCCTTATTTGGGGAAGATCGTTCGAAGACGCGATTAATCTATAGTAACTCTTTTAATTAATGAAGCTGCTTCAATGTGAGCCTTCAAAATATTCTGAAATCTTATTTGTGTAGATTGTTTCGTAATTCCTTTCAAATGCGGCATTTCATTCTCGGTTGTGTTTAGTCCCGAATTTTTAATAATTTTTGAAATGGTCTCAAAATGAAGTTTAGGTGTAGCCTTCAATATTTAATTCCCGTCCTGATTGGAAAAGGGAAAATTTTACCGAATTTTTGCGCAAAATAACTTATGCAAATTTTTTTCTACCGTCCATTTTGCTTTCTACACCTGCCGTTAGCAGCAATCTTCATCGTTATCTTTCGAACTGCATTGATATATGCGCTGTTTATTCCGTTCGCAGAAATTTTCCTCTCATTGACTCGAGGGTCAATGCAGTGCGCTGCGATGCCCAACAATTCGGTGCAAATAGATTTCACCAGGTTTTCTTTAATAACTGACATTGCACATTTATTAATGTTGTTTGGTTTAGAACTAATCAAGCTTGCAGGCGTGCTGTTGTATTAAAAGAGTCTGTGGCTGGATGACGCTGTATAGTCATGCTGCACCCATGAAGGTTGAGTGCAGTGCTGCGCTGTTACCGAACAAGCGTCTCTTTGTTTTACGATATTAAGTTCTCACTTGCTGCCTTGCTTTTGAATGCCTTCCAAGAGCAATCTTAATGCAGCTGCTTGCTTATTGTACGTTTAATTTTACACAATTTGATGGTGACGAAACATTTTTGAAACTCATTACTGCCTGTGATGCCATATTGACGCAACGTTTTCAAGAAAATTATTCTTATTCTTATCGGAATTACGCGTCTTAACCCGGATGTGAACGCTCCAATTAAGTCTGAGGCTAGCTTGATGCACTCAAAGAAACGAGAGAGACTTGGTTCGAAAACCGATGCACTTTTTGCCCTTATGTGGCTCAACCTGACCCATTTAGGCCGGGCAAAAATGTGCATTAGTTCTACGTCCTTTCTCTGCTCGCACTGTAAGAAAATCACCATTTAAACAATATGATTCATTCATTTTTTCTGAGTTTATAGCCTCAATGAAACAGATTATCAGCATTATTCTCATTTATCATTTTATACATAGCTTCGATATGACTCCATGTTGAGAAGAAAAGTAGATTCCGACAAATTCGGTTATTCGAAATCGGTTACCAGTATTAGTGTATAAACTTATTTCATGTACATGTTTGAGAAAATTTTTCTGGAGTACTGCTAAATTACTGATAATGCTCAATCTGTTTCTGGCAGTTAAATGCCTTGGGATTTTATATTTGAAAATAGTTTCATAAGCCTTTGGAAGTACCTCTGACGTCATGTTCATTCATGGCGGTTATGAAGGAAAGCGCGTAACAAGTTTATTCGCTTTATTGGCCAATCTTCGTTTTGCTGAAGTGATGCCGAAGGATTGAGCGCCATATCCCGCTTTATTGCCGTCGTTCGTTTTTTCAATACAATATAAAATAGTCTAGGAATAACGACTGAGTAATGAACACAATCGTTTCCAATCACCACTGAACAAGTAGTTACCCCTTTGTTTATCACTGGCGATTATGGACCTGCGTTTTTAAATAAATTCATAAATGATAATACATATTTCATCTTGATGAGTGTAAAGTTTTATTGTTATTGTATATTACACTCTTCTTCTGTCACTGAACGCTTGACCCGTTTGTTATTATTAACGGTTTGTGTTCTTTGAACAAATAATGTTTGATATACCTACTTCGTGCCCACTTCTTAACGGTGATAATTTATTGTATTTTTCCTTATCACTCTTTGTTGTTCTTGAAGCAAACCAGCGTTTCCCTGCTACGCAAAAACTTTTACAATTTTTGAACATTTGTTTCTGCATTTTGTTCAGGCAATAGCGTTATTTACCTTCCTACTTGCGGAGGTTATGTCCACTTCGAAAATCGATCCTCATGTGGATTTTTTTAATTATCTTATCATGAGGTCAAGTATTTAAGCCTCGTCACTAAGACGTGTTGTTTGTCGCCAGTGTCCGACACGTGAGCCTGCACCGCGGCAACGAAGGACTGGGCTTCAACATCGTTGGTGGTGAGGATAGTGAGGGCATCTTCATATCGTTCCTACTAGCGGGTGGTGTAGCCGACTCTTGTGGTCAGCTCAAGAGAGGAGACCAGATACTCGCTGTCAACAACATCGATCTCCGGCATGCGAACCATGAACAAGCCGCTCAGACTCTCAAGGTGAGATAGTTCTTGGTTAACTATAAACTGAAACATGCCATCTTGATGTACTGATGATTGTTTGCATCCGTGATGTTAAAGCAAGCTTTTTCAGTTAAAAAACATCTCCAATAAAAAAACATGTGACATTTTCATATCATCTAAGGCTGGATGTACAAAACGTCAGTATCGCACATTAATTGTCCAATCAATTCATGTGGTTGGACGCAGCTCAATTTAGGCTTTAAATTCAAGTTTCTGATCTTGCTGTGCCGGGCTATTGATTATCGACGAGAATTCTAATTTTTCTTGTATTGCACAGAATGCCGGCCAGGACGTCACGTTGACAGTTCAGTACAAGCCTGAGGAATACAACAGATTTGAGGCTAAAATTCACGACTTGAAACAGCAAATGATGTCCGGCACCTTACGCACCACACAGAAAAAGCAGCTCTACGTCAAGTTAGTTCCTTGCTATTTTAATCTAGGATTATAGCATCTGCATATATACCTAATGCAGCCATTTCCTGTTAACACAGTAATTTGTCACTGAATTAATTTTTGTGAGATAGTAGTTGTTGGGAGTGTTGACAATTTATCTGGGTGTAGCGGGTAGGTACTGAAAGTAATAGCAGGGACTGAGGGACTTAGTGAGGGTATTGTGGAGTGCTGATGCAAGGAATTGGGCGCCTCTCATGTCTAGGTGTTCTTTTAGAGAGAGGACTTTGGTTTCTGCATGGACGTGACTGGATGGTGTGGTTTGGGTGCTGCCAAGTGCGAATCTGAAGGCTCTGTTTTGTATGGTTTGTAGGTGTTTGTAAAGTGTGGGTGGAATTATGGGTGCCCAGGCTGGACTTGCATAGTCCAGCACTGAGCGTATGTATTGTTTGTACATTAGTGTGAGGTAGTACGATAGGTAGTCTTTGTCACTGATGGAACTACGTGCTGCGGACACGGTGATACCGAGGCAGTAGGTACCAGTGCAGTGAACTGCTTTATAATTTCCTCTACATTTAAACATAAAGTTGCTGACGGCCGGCCCACCTGTGGTCCTTATTTAAAAAAGAAAGTGCCAGGATTTATACGGGTTATTGCTAGTCTTTAGGTGGGCTAACTGTTTGTTAGTCGCCCGTGAGTAAAAGTATTGATACACACCGCATTTGTCTCGTGTACCTCGGATTATTACGTAGTTGGGAGTTTTTCCATTGCTAGGCCTCTCTCAGAACTCGAGTTCATCATGTACCGCTTATTGGTATTGAGTGTGAAAAATATGCCATGCTTTTTGGTCTGCATAAGGTAGACTGCCGCCGTTTTCTACGTCGTGTCCAATCTTCAGGTTTTCCTCTTACTGCCGCTCTGTTGGCTCAATTTGAATTACCACAATTTTCAAGAATGCCGTTCTGCTTCCTAAACTGATCATAATACCGGGTGAATTTCAGGTTCGCTAACTCGTGTGTTCGACCGTATCGAGTATTATAACTTAGCGATGAATGGCTCTTTGTAATCAATCGCTGTGTGCTGTCAACATCTTCAGTCCCTAGCATATTCACTTCTTCCTTTATTTCAACTCTCTCTCCTCCATTTGCCTGTATTTCAAACGTGTAACGCGCATGCTGCGTGCAGAGCGCTGTTCGACTACGACCCCAGCAAGGACGACGGCCTGCCTTCACGTGGTCTGGCGTTCAGTCACGGCGCCATCCTGCACGTCGTCAACGCATCAGACGACCAGTGGTGGCAAGCCAGGAGGGTCAAGCCTGACGGCTCTGAAGAAGGCGAGATTCTTACCAGTATCCATATTGTGTTATTAATAACAATTAAACGTGACAAATTTTGTTGCTGTTTAAAATTCAACAGAATCGTTTCGGCATTGCTTGGTTTTTACCACTTATGGTTATTTATGTCGCTAGAACAAAGTAAGTTTATTCTGCAAAATTTTTTAACAATAATTAATTTTTTTTAAATAATATGTTCCTTTTTATCGTATTTTTTAGTAAAAGAGATTATTCGACGGCGCAAACGACGTGGCTTCTGGTTCAAACGGACTTCGGGGGACTATTATTATTATCATTATAATAATTATGAAAATATATGCTATTCGCAAGTATCAAATTTTCTACGGCTGTATCGTCTCTAAGATACCATCATCTTACCGACTTTCAGATGGTTCTGAGCAGTGACTAAAATAATCTATTGTTTGAAGGTTCTTCAAATTCGATAGCTTCTCTGACGAGTTTATTTAAAACACAGTAATTGCTATTGCGATTTCGTTTGACCACAAGCGCTACTGATCCTTGTGATATACTCGAAAACTTTTATTAGTTAGTGCAATTTGTTGAGGATTATGTGTGTTGCAGGCAGCGGCATCATCCCTTCCAAGACGCGATGGGAGAAGAAGCAGCGAGCGCGGCTTCGCTCTGTCGCCTTCCAGGGCAAAACTTCGTCCAATACAGACGCTAATAATAGGGTGAGACTTCCTCGTCAATTATCCTATTTGTTAGCTATTTGTGTTACTTATGTATATACACAAGAATTGCTGAAACTCGACTACCAAATATCGACGTTGTATTAATTCCGCCATGGATGAAAAAATGAGAACATAGTTCATGGCACCGGAACTTTGATGATTCGAGAGCGTTTCGTTCCTCTGCCTTTTATTAATTATAATTTTATCTTAATATTATCTTATAATTAATTCTTTGGTAAAACAAAAAGTGGAGTCATTTATTCTAGCAACGTCAAGCTAGGTTGTACAACTGTGTTTTGCCTTGTTTTTAATTTTTGAATAAATACGTATTTATTGATCAATGATCAAAATCATCGTTCTGCACTATCATTTTTCACCCAGTTGAATTTCCCTCTTTACAAACCACGCCGTCTCAAACACTGAAAATATTATATACAGTATGGCTGTGACATTGTGCATTTCATATTTTAATGAAATTGTTAAGACTTGGATTTTTCTCTGAGCTAATAGAAAAAAGATAAGCTTTATTTCTTCATAGACTTTTTGAAGGAAGGCAGTCTTTCATGATCTGATAACAGGTCATGAATTCTATAGAATTCTTCATTTTGCTGGCTACGTACTCTAATGAATCTTATTAACTGTCTGCCACATCCACCTCTTGTCATTTTTTTATTCTTCTCAGCTATTTAAAACATTTAAACTCATAATTATGGGTGTTCACGTTCGTTCGTCATTTTTCCATCCTTGATCAAATATCATGTGATGAAATGTCCTAATAAAATAATTCCATGACATCGTGACCCCTATTCCTTTTATTCAGATACCATAACATTCCTATGGGGCTTGCCGATTTCAATATATCTATGACGAAATCAAAATTCACCGTTTGCGCCTCGTCGTTCACGCAATAATTGAACGAGTTTAAGATTGCGAATAAAAACTTTGATGAACGATAATAATTCGCGGTCATATGTGATCATTTAACCGCCAAGTGCTTATATTCCGTGTCTTTCATCCCACATCTTCTACTCATAGCTTGTTTAACTGTTTAGCATATTTTATTCATAGCATGATGAGTTTGGGATAGCCCTCATTTCTAGAACAAAGCAGTCTACCAGGATGACTTCTTCTAGTAAAAATCCTGGCCATGAACTCACAATATTGATACTTCATGTTCATTAATACTTCATGAACCCATAATATGTTTCATGTTCACGAACTCATGCTAAAACTGATCCCCCTTACCCATATCCCCATTTTGCGTGTCTTCTCCCTCACGACCTCCCGTCCCATTTCAGCAATCCACTCTGGAACGCAAGAAGAAACCTTTATCATTCACTAAAAAATTCCCCTTGTTCAAAAACAAGAGCAAAGACGAAAAGTCCGAGGATGGATCTGACAATGAACGTGAGTATTATTATCTTTTATGTAAATATCTTCTTATTATTACCATCAGTTCGTAATCTTTTCACTATCAGCATTACTACTATTAAAAATCTGGTATGCAATAGCGTTCATAGTGCCTGCTTCTCCAAGCCATCTTGGGCTGCGTTCACTCAATGTCAATCATTTTATCTGCTCAATATGAAATCTAAATAAATCTCCGCTGCTGCCGAGAAACATTCCTAGTAGCAGATGCAGTGGACAATTTTTTCAAATGTGTGTGAACACGCCCAGATTATTTGGAAATAGTGAACTTGATAGTGGCACCCTTGGTGCTTAAAGAATCTCAATATGTTTCCATCTTCTTTGATTCTGACTGCATTGTTGAGCTGTACGAAACGTGATCATAATAATGAATATCGGCGGTGTTAGTGTCTGAGGTGGTCGTGCTGTATGATAGGTACTGCAGGTGTGCGGACCTAACCTTCTCCCAAGCAACTTCGAAACTCGCGTTAAACAATTCATATTGAATAAAGACCGTGTTTTATATCTACTTCTTTCTGTAATTTAGAAGCCTCTCATTCTATTAGATTTCGTTATTTTCCTAGTAAATGTGACCTAAGCTAAGAATTCATTTGATGAAACAGTCTAGCGAAACCAAAGCGCGTTAATTATCTCGCTTTGGTAGGACGTGGATCTCGCTTTGGTAGGACGTGGATGTAATTCGTAGCATCGCTTCAAGTAATCGTTTTCGTAACAACCATTTCATTCTCATAACGAACGATGTCTTATTTATCAATGGATTCAATTGTTTTTTATTTATCGTCGCCTGTCATGAAGGACTAAAATTTCGGTGTATGAGCGAGGCTGCTTGGAGAACGCCGTGTTCATTCCGGCCTGTACGAGAACCCGTGTTTGTGCTCGATGCGCCACTTGTTTGTGTTAAAGTGCTTGTACACGGAACAGTAGTGGCAGCCAGTAAAACTTCTCAATACTAACCGCCACTATTTACCGTGCTATTGGCCTCTTGTAAGGACTCTTATGGCCACGGCAGGATCCAGTACCTCTTAAATCGAAGCCAGTAGAATGTTGGTTGGTTGCAGTTAGAGTTTTCGAGTTCTACTGGCTGTCACTGCTGTGCCCATGTATTATCACCTTTATGATCATCTTGCCAACTGAACTGAAAAGATAGGATTTACCGATGATAGCACTGCAGTAGAAACAATTTTTTCTCTCGTTTTTCATTACGCTTGTTATTATTAGCGAAAGGTCTGGTATTGGTGATGTCATTTTGAAGTCTGTTTTCGTAATATCTGAGAGCTGAGTATCTTTCTCTTTGTAAAAGCAAAATAGAAGCATGATACAATTTAACGTTCTCTGAACGAAGATTGAAAATTATATCAAGACTCGAGTCAAAATGTAGAGAAATTAATTTATTGCTAATCGTTTCACAAACTTGTTTGGAGTTTTTGGCTAGCTTTTTAATTTGATTTTTGTGCTCGTCTGAACATATCCTTTGTAAATTGCAGAATTTTGCTCGCTCCTCGTAGTTCTTTCTTGAGTATCGCCGTATTCTATTACTTTAGATATGTCACCATCACTCGGTTTTTGTCAAGAGCTAATTCTTTTTTCACTCTTTCATTATGTTAACCGCTTTTTTCGACAAAGCAGCGATCGACAATCGCCCCCTGGAATATTCCGTGATTATTGAAAATTTTTCATTGGATTTTCTCTGGAGCCTATTGGAATTTTGGGCTTTGTTATCACGGAATTTTTGTCGTCACTTCCAGCGTTATACTTGAATTGTTTAGTCGCGTCCTCCTTATTTTCATTGCACATTTTTGGTTCTTGTTTCCTTGTTGAAAAGTCGAGGGATAAATTTGCCCCTGAAACGCAACAGCGAGTTGCATTATGCTTTTTCCCAGCACTTACTATTGATCTCTAACCGAATTATTTGGTATCGACAAATTACCTCATCATTATCGGACTATTTTCTAATTCATTGCCCGTAGTTACTAGGAAAAACTCGATAGAACTCGTTTTCTCGACGTCTTTAATTAAGTACTAAAAAGTATAAAGCAGTTAAGCGTAAGAACGTTGCGTGAATGTGAATGCCTGAAGCATCTTCTTTTGAATGCACTTTACTTCTAATAGTTATTTATCGAGCCTACTAAGGATCTCTATTGCCTTGTATTGCCTATGCCATGTAGAACGCTGCGCCTCTAAAAAGTTCTTACTACGCATTATTGAGCATCTTTTAACTAGACTTGACTATGTGAGGATTATCTTGCAGAAGGCGCCGAAGACGGTCACTTTTCTTGCCCATCTTTGAAAATCTTGAATATTTTTAACCAAACTAATAACATATTTACACTTTTAAATATCAACTATATGAATATTGATCATTCCTTACTGATAATTAGTTTGTAAAATGGTTCCCACATAGTCACGTCCAAGATTCAACTAGCAATTTAGTGTTGTTCTTCTCTCCTACATGCTTCGTCGCCGTGTGTCGCTCTCTTCCAATGTCGCCCTCATCATCTCACTTGTCTCTATTACGTACTTGTCAATTCTTTTGCCTAATTTTTCCTATTTTTTCCTATTTTTTCAATAACATTACAAACGTGCAAACGTACTTGTAAAACGTCCAAATTGGATTGGATTATTTTTTTGCATTCTTTTACTTCATTCTCGCTTTGTTCTTCATTTCATTTGAGCTTTTGTCGATACTGATCACTGATTCTCAAGCGGTTCCTCATTTTATTACCATTTTCGACGAGTCATTTCGGTTGTTGCTTCACCATTTGACCGATCACATCTCACAAACTTATAATCTTTTCTAAACTTGTCCACTGCGCACCACTCCGTCACACACTCACCACAACAACCTACTCCTTCTCCACATGTTGACTCGCGGCGCTTCACTCATGTAGTGGAGAATTATGAAGGTGAGATCTTGCATCCGCATTGTTTCGCCTTAGCATCAGATTTTGTTCCCCGTGATTCAAGTTTGTTCGGTTGATTGCATTTTTCTTTGATACTGCCGCACGTCAGAAGCTGAGAAATGTTTATAGTAGTCTTAGAATGTCATCCCTATCTATCATAAAAATTTAAAATTTATTTTGTACAAGTTATTCAGTTAAAAGTAATTGCCCGATGATAAGTTTCGGGTTCGTTACTTCACGCATCGTGTTGACATTTACAATTTTTTGTTTACGTCTTTTGCATCTGATGGTTCATTAGCATGTATCTGTTGCTAGAGCCATATCAAAAAATATTGTTATTCAGTACCTATAAACGATCCTGCTCAATTGAGATAGAAATCAATACGTAGTGGGAGCATTTTTGCATTTAAAGCTCAAGTGGTTGGGAGTGCTGCGTGTATAGCAGTATCGACGGTGAGTAAGTGAAAAATGTAGCTTGGGTTTAATTGCTTTATTTTCGTGCATTGAAAGAATTTTAATCACCTGGACTTCCTGCTTTTTCTCGTTCTCGTTAAAAGCTTTTTTCTACGAGTCTCGTGCCATTTGTTTCGTGTCTATCCTTATGTGGTTTTCTTTTTATGATTTACATTGAATCGTTGTTTTCTATCCGACATTGCATCCTGCTGTTCCAACTCCAATGATTAATCTTATGATTGGACACAGTTTGTCGTATGTTTTCTGCTTTCATTTATCTTTATTGGAAATTATATGAAGCTTCGTTCATTTTTTCGCCTAATCTTTTGCTTATCGTGTGCAAACGAATTTTCTTGTCTTGGCCGTCCTTTGATATAATTTTTTCTAGTAAAATTTTCTGAGCAGAATTGCTTCCATAGCCCTGGCTGTTAGATCTCCTCGATAATTTGCTCAAGTGATAAGGATGTTCGTACTTTATTCCATCTCACGTTGCTTTATTCTTCTACTGTAATTCATAGTTACTCATGCTTCTGCTCCCACCTTTAAATTTTCAGACGTTTATGCTCGTGTTCTTTATGGCTCCAATGAATTTCCTTATAAGATTTCGTCTGCTGCTCGAATGATTTATTATTAAGCGTGGCTATACTCTACCTCACCATTGTTTCCAGTTGTAATTGTGATGATTGTATGCCTGCCTACCTTTGTCTTGACTTTTATCCCCATAATATCGGGGATGCATACGGTCAATCCTCTGACCCCATTTCGAATGCCCGAATGTTATAATTCGACAATTCCTCCTAAATCTGCAACTGCAGCATTTTCTAATGTACATAATCTTGAAAGAAAACCTTGACTTTGTAACTCATTTCTCGTTTAACAAAACATTTCTGGTAAACGACGCTAATGCGTTGCAATCGTTAACGAAACCCTATTATTGGAATTGTTGAATGAACATCGGCGAAGTTGGGGCGGCTTGACTGGTGCAAAGATCATTATTTCTTTAATTAATTAAGGCGTGGGAATGATATCTAGATTTGTTTACCTTTGAGCACCACTGAAGGCTTTCAGAAAAATTCCCTACTCCCCATTTGTATCCTTGAATATTTTCCTTAAATTACTCGTGCAAGAAAGCCATACAAAACCCGCATGAGAGAATAAAGTATTTGACTGGTCCCCGAGTAAGAGATCCTTGCTAGTGTTGCTGTAATACCAGTGCTTATGTAATTTGTTCGTTGTTTTTGGTAGCATCTTCGTGCGTTACTGACGGCGACAGCGAGACGCGCAGCATACGTGAGTATAGTAGCTATAGGGTCTGTGATTTGGTCGCTTCAGGCTGCATGTGTAACTAACGGTCAAGGATTATGGTAGGTGCATTGTTCTTGCATTCTTGCACACTTTCTGATTACTGGCGTTCACCTAACCAATAAAGCTAAGACGAAAATGTTTATTTACGACAAAGAATGGGATGAGCTAAATACGTCGCTTTATTTTTACCAATCTGTCCTCAGAGGAAATTTTTCAACTCGTCTATCCTAATACAGTTCGAATTATTAGAGAACAGAAAAAACTTAACTTCAAACAAATTTTAAACATACTATTTAATCAAACATGTCTTAATGAAGGGCTATACCCAAAATGTACAAATTGCTGAAAAGAATGTACTGAAGGATTCTGTAAGAAAATACTGCATTTCCTTGTTAGCATCGCTACTATGCTCAATGAAAAAGAGCCCGGGATTACCTAATAATAGGTATTTACATTTTCGGAATCATTTGTTTCTGCATATTCCTTTGAATCCATTCAGAAGACCACGCGAAGTTGTTCTAAACACTCTGATCCCAACTCGCGCTTTAGTATTTGGACTCTATAAACCTGAAGCCTCGTCCCTTACATCACCTCGTCGTTACACGAGATAGAAAACGCTGCTACAAAATTTTCAACCATGCTAAGTGACGATCAAGTTTAGCAGCTGTGGTCTGTTTGGGAATTGAATGTGTACACGTTTAGTGAAATCATACATAGGTACTTCCAATGGCAAAGTTTTGTTTCATGTTTGAGAAACTCGTATCTTAACGCAAGATTGAGTTAAAGCTGCATGCATATTAGTTTGCTAACTCCTACTTTGTGTTGTCTGCATCTGTTAGTCGAGCGGGTTGCTTATGTTCTTAATATATTATTCTATCTACTACGTAATTGACTAAATTCTTGATGTTGAAAAACATTAAATAGATTTCACTCTTATTTTCTTTACTGTATAATTTTAAATGTTTAACAGTAGCTGTAATTTTGAGCAATGTAGCAAATTGGAATGTAAACTTATCTTGGTGATTAAACACAAAGCCTTTCTCTTCTTGTTGGCTCATGTTTGGGGGAGTAACTAGGTTCTTATTCAACTTGACGTATTGCCAACTTACGATTGTGTTTATTAGACAGTGGGTTTGAGGCTTGACCGTGATTTTTCTCAAGACTCTTTATTCTTATCTTGTTATTCTCTGTTGCACTCACGTTATTTACTATTATTCGTGTGCATCAACATAATATTTCTGTGTATTCGTCGGGTATTTGACATTTTTTATATTCTTGCTTGCTTGTTAAATACAATCAATTGTTATTGTTAGATTTAGTACAATAAGGCTAAATACTTAACTTCACTTGCTTGAACGTAGATTATATCTTAATGAAATTATGATTATGTTCAATGTTAGATGTTGTATAGCGTGCACTAGCATTGTGTCGCATATTTTTAGGCGATCAAAATGGAAAATACAGTCTAATTATAGGAAGAAAAATGATCTTTTCTGCAATTATTGAATCTCACAGGATGATTAACAAGTAAATATAACCATTTAATTTTTATTACATTTCCGCTTGATCTACTAATGAGAAGCTTTCTAATTCGTTTTCCAAATTTGCATATATGGACGCTTATCTGACTCTTGCCTCTAATAGCCTTGTAACGGAGTCAAAAGACGACATACTTGCCCAATTTGCCCAATACAGTGGAAAAAATATGAAACATTTATAACTGGGACTTAGGTGCTCATATCAAGCCGTATTATTAATTTCAAGCTTTATCATCTGATTGAATTCAGCCGGACCAAATGAAATTTGGCTGGAAAACTCGCCTTAACATAATGAATTGCTACCCTGACTGACCGAGATAAGAGTGTTTCTAACATTGAGATACAAGTGTTTCTGACATTGATATACGAGTGTTTCTGACATTGAGATACGAGTGTTTCTGACATTGAGATACGAGTGTTTCTGACATTGAGATGTATACGAGTGTTTCTGACATTGAGATACGAGTGTTTCTGTCATTGAGATGCTGTCTCTTATACACATCTAGATGTGTATAAGAGACAGCTCTGACATTGAGATACGAGTGTTTCTGTCATTGAGATGTATACGAGTGTCTCTGACATTGAGATACGAGTGTCTCTGACATTGAGATACGAGTGTTTCTGTCATTGAGATACGAGTGTTTCTGACGTTGATATACGAGTGTTTCTGACGTTGATATACGAGTGTTTCTGACGTTGATATACGAGTGTTTCTGAAGTTAATATACGAGTGTTCTGACGCTGCGTGCACAGGAGGGCCATGTGACGACCTGCACGTGGTATCATACGAGGGCGTACAGCAAGTAACCGTCAACTACACGCGGCCGGTCGTGCTGCTAGGGCCCCTCAAGGACAGGATCAATGATGACCTCATCGCTGAATTCCCGGACAAGTTCGGATCTTGCGTCCCACGTCAGTTCTCATGCTGTCCTTAATATTCATGAAATAAGTGTACTTCGTATATAAGTACCTACATCATTAGTCTGCTTAAATCGCAAGTTTGCCAAGAATTTAAATAGAATAAAATGCTAAGCAAATTCACCAAATATCTTCATTAATTCCATATCTTCGTAAAGATATGGGGAATTTGCTAGCGTTTTCTTTGATTTTAAATTCATGTTAAATTTACTTACCTTATATTACTTTAATATTATATCTTTACTAATTCATTTATATTCTAGATTGACTTTAAGGAAGCGTTTTCATTTTAGTTTTCAGTTTTTATTGTAATAGTAAAGCAATTTGGATACCTGAAATTGTGACGAAGCTATTAATTCTTCCTAGTTCAATTGTGTCCATTGACTTATATCTATATACGTGAATTATTAACAGCGAAATCGTAGTGCTGATCTTAGTAATTGACTAGTAATCTTTTCATGTCCTGAATTATTCACTTTTTACTTATTAAGCAATGTATCTTTCATGCTTATTGAGATTGCCCAGGTATAATATGCGTTTTTTCTTGACTCGTGTTTAGAATGCATCGGATTTAATAAATATGAGGCTGTAGTATTGAATGGATCAGTAGTATTTTTTGCCAGTGACCGGAATTCGATCAAACTTGAGCAGACACAACGCGTCCGAGACGAGAGTACGAGGTGGACGGACGCGACTATCACTTCGTGACATCACGCGAGCAGATGGAGGCCGACATACAAAACCATCTCTTCATCGAGGCTGGCCAGTACAACGATAATCTCTACGGCACTTCGGTGGCGTCCGTCAAAACCGTCGCCGAAAAGGTGAATCTCTTCAGTGAACTGAGAATATTGGTTTACTATATTATTAGCTATTCAACATTCAGGGAAACAACTGAGACTTTGTCCAAAAAGCAACGCTTTTGTTGCCCTTATCAGTTTGGCCCAGCAAGGGGGCGTATCAGTGCTACGTCTTTTCTTTGCTTGTACTGTGGGTAAGGTGTGTCACTATTTAGACAATTGCTTTATTCATTTTTTCTGGGTGAATGTTGTGTTCTGAAATAAAGCTTCGTTGTCTCCGCATTTTTTTCGCAAGCTTCACTATCTAATGCATGAATTCATGTCATTGTGCTCACGTTAATAAGCTGTACCACATCCAGGGAAAGCACTGTATACTCGATGTGTCCGGCAACGGCATTCGACGGCTGCAGGTTGCCCAGCTCTACCCTATCGCCATCTTCATCAAACCTAAGTCGGCTGAACAAATCAGGTCAGTCAAGTCAATAAACACACGAGAGATTATTTGGGTCATTAAAAGTTGACTGATCAAATCGAAAGTCGTGAGTTCTACCATACTAGGTAGGTACTCTAATTACTCCAGACTTTGGACTCCAAGCCTGTTCATGCTATCTATTAGAAGATTATTTGTCCTCTTCTACTCCCTCAAATAGTAAACTACTTAGGAATGTTCGTTTATTATTATTATTTCAATCTTTAGAGCATACGTACACTTCATCACGAAGTGAATTTTTTTCATTTCGTTTCCTATCATTGGCAATACATCATTTCTAATACTTATTCTAGCAATGTGTCCGGTGTCACGGAAAGTGTTTTCCGTAATTTCTCATATTGATTTTGTGGTCATCTTTATGTTGATAAACTCATCCATTACAGAGAATGGAACAAACGCGTGACGGAGGAACAAGCCATCAAGACGTTCGAGCGCGCCTTAAAAATCGAATCCGAGTTCGGGGAGTACTTCAGTGGCGTCGTCATGGGTGACACTCCCGAAGAAATTTACGCTAATGTTAAACAGCTTCTGGTCCAGCATGACGTGCCCAATATCTGGATACCGTGCAAGGAAGTGCTTCCTTCTTAAGCCTCTTCTTTATTTAATTCGTATCGATCGCTTCCATCTAATCGCACCTCGACTTGATGCTTCACTTTTCATCAACTTTCGTCAACTCGGATAAGCTTGGACGCAAGACTGCACTTGAACTGTTGAGCACAGCGCACTAGAGATAATTTGGTTGTAAAATGAAACTAGTGCAAAAAAATTATTCTGGGAGATTCCAGCGAACCTTGTGTGTGCACATTAATTCAAATGTTGATCATTGTTCTCCAAATATTGGTTGAGTGATAGAAGCATCCCTAAAGTATGTTCTGAATTAGTTATTCTCGAAATGCTGTCGAGCTTGATATTGTGTCACGAAGTTTGTAGTTTGGCGTGAAGTTCACTCCCATGAAACTTGCTGTTTGGATCACAGATCTGTACTTGCATAAATTAATATGAGATTCATGATGGGGTTTTCGACGAGGTTTTATTCGCCACTAGATATTTTAGACTATTATCTTCGTGAAAAATATGGGTGTAATTTTTATTGTTTGAAAGTTACTGGGGAAAATATTCAAACACAATTTTTACCTTTGACCAGAGCCTGTCTTCATGGTTCCATTAAATTTTTAATATAAATCTTAGACCAACTATTAATGACTTCAGCTTCTCTGAATAACTTAATCGCTTTGTTATGTAACTAAAATTTTTTTCCACAGCTATTTCACTTTGTATACTATATTTCTTATACTTTAATTTTTTACAGATACCAATGGTACCTGTTCTGCTGTTCTTCTATCATGGGTTCGATTCTTGAAATTTATCCATAGATCTACTGCAAGAATGCTTCTGTTTTTGTTGTAATCGAAACCAGTAGCTGCCAATTATTACCTATTACATTTCCGTCTCATAGCCCCTCATGTGATTTCATGGACAGCATTTATGATCAACTCCTCGAGTTGTTATTTTCTTGTCGCCCAAGAAATGTGCTACGTGATTATTCCGGAACATAGATGCGGTCACCGCTTTCTACCGAAAATCTGTCTCCATCAAATAAATCTGACAGGGATAACTATTTTTCGTGCATTTAGAACTTTTTTGATTTTCAACATTGACTTAAGATCTTGAGAGTTTAGGACGCTGAAAATGTTTCCATGGATTTTAACGGACCACGATGCATCAACAAATTGATGTTGATTGGATATGTAGTGTGATTGTTATTAACATGTGCACTAACTATTCAGAAGTGATCAATCACCTCATTTCTGACTTTCGCTTTGATCTCGGCTGCATTTTTTTTTGTGCTTCTGCTCTATGAACTGCACGGCTGTGGAATCTGCATCTTTTATTGGTTTCTTCAGATACTTGGACGTGAGATCTTTATTGCCTTGTGTCTCTACTTGGTCCAAGATGTTCTGCTCAATTTCTGCTTGCTTTTTTTTCTTCTCTGAACTCCCGAACATGTGAAGTTATTATAGCATTAATTTGAATTTTTTTTTCAACTTTAAAAATATCTGTTAAATTTCATAATATTGCATAATTTTTCTCTGTTATTTTGCTTTCATTTTTCAATGCATTTTCTTCATTCATTATATATTTGTTTGCAATTGTACTTTAACTTTATTGATGGCTTCTTTCTTAACGCGTGTGACATGAAGACCGTTGTGTCACTTGATTTCTGTAAATGTTCATGTAATTTATTTATGTTTGCTCCATGAGCATGCTCGTTTTGACTATCATTTGTGAGTATTCTTGTAACATCTTTGTTGTATGACAGGCGTGTTCATTTTAGCTAACATTACGAATTGCACGAATACTTCTCTGTCAAATTTTTTTAGTCGACAAAGAAAATCAATTTGAGGCTGTTGGAAAACTCTCATCAATAGCGTGAACTTTGAAATGTTTATTTATATAATTTTTTAATTTCATTGGGTGATGTTCTCGATACCTATGAATTTTTTATTTCAGTACACGGAAGTATTTTTCGAATTGCAATGAAATTCATCGATCTCCGTGAGTAGCCTTGGTATCATGCGATGGGCAGTATTCGATTGTTTTATTTCCAGTAGGATTTGTCGTAAAGTTGATATTAACTTAACATTTGAGTTGGGGTAGGTTTGCTTTGTTTTCTAGACTTCCATTTTCACATTTTTTTGTATATACCCGCCATTTCAATTTGACTGTAAATGATCATGCAACCGGTGTTTGTGTTGGACGCTGGCAAACGTCTTTTCTTTTCATGTCAAGAAATTATTCCATGGAAAAATGTGCATGAGGGGTTTAGGACACTTGCAGATCGTAGCCAAAATTTTTGTGTTCTGTGAAAAAATTAGGATACACTCCCAAGACCTCTTATCTGTTGATAGTGAATGACACCGGTAAACAGATTGCATCGTAACGTATTCATTCATCTTGAAATCAGTCTGAATTTCTAACCCTCATGAAGATCTTTTGTCACCCCTAACTTGGGTTGCTGCTGGCATTTAATACACCTATTAGAGCAGCGTTTGCAAGGACGACGACTTCTATTCACTAATGACTTGAAAAATCCTGCACGAATTATGTTTATTTTTTTACTTCGTCCGTTAAGTTTGAAGTGATATTTTGTTTATTGTAGGCTTGTGTGAATGCTTCTACTAGAATGATGCCGTTTACACCCATCTTTTCGCCCCCAATTAGAGCAATTAGGTACTTGATGGATTTTTTAACATGATTTGTAAAATTTATATGATATTTACTTCTTAAATTTCCCGCTGTTACACTGCTTTTAATTTTTTAGAAGCAAGGGATGAAAATTTTTCTTAGTGGCCAATTTTTCCACCTTCTATTATTTAAGACTTTTTGCGTATCACGGCTCGCTTTAGCAGCTCTCGATTCTCTCATCGACTCCTCACTTCGTCTAATTCAAAGATGATGAGGAAGTAGAATAATTCACCTACAAAGGGCAATAATAAGAGGCAACCCTGAACTTTTTCTTTCTTGTATGAACTGCAATCACGGAAATGATTCTTGGATTGACGATGTCTCCTCACACATTCCACGACGATGATGAATTGAATGAACGTAGGAAAATGTCAAGTTAGAAAATTAGAACGATTATTATTATCGTCTAAAGCTCCCCAGTTAGTAGACTTCCATGATGATCCATAGGGCCATCCTTCAGCCACCGTTCAGTATTGGTGGAAGCACTCATTGATATGTGGCTTCAATACCCGGCCTTGTTGTTCCTTTTAACGTATTCTGGATTATTAGGTACTTGGAACTACACGATTATTGCTAGCTAATTGTTCATCATTCCCCAATATCGTTACCTTCCCTTTGTACATAATTCGCTCGCGTACTACCATCATTGTACGCTTGTTGCCTTGTATATAAGTTTAATTTTAAGTATTTAATAAACAATAAATGTGTTGATGGAAACCGATTGAAGGACCGTAAGTCTTGTTCTGTGTTTTTTATTTGAAGAGATTAATTAATGCAGGCTTCGCATTTTTCACTTGTTTAACAGAGAGATAATGGGAGCAAACGTGGTCCAAACTTTTGGATGCCCAATAATAGAATTCTTTGGAGATGATTCTTATGACGGTCAACTATACATAATTCATGAAAGCTTTCTATGTTGTTACTAACAATGCATGTTTGTAAGAATGTACTATCCTGAATGTGAATAAGTTCTTATTTCAATTGGTCACAAACTTTATTGCTACTAAGAATTTACAGTTTTTTTATAATTTTTTTTTTACATTTTCCTTTTCGTTTAGTGTTTAATATTGTTTCACGCCTTCTCGTCAAGTTGTCAAATGCATAGGGATTGTATCATTGAAATATTATTTGCGTTTGAATTTTTATGATATATATAATGTATTTGTAGGGAAAGGTGCGATGCCCTAAGGGTCTTTAAAAGGCTCGAATTATGTCTTGAAGTGGGTAATTTCAAATGTGAATGGATGCATTTTTTATGATTGCCTTGTCTTTCGATTGGATTATTTATAACTATTTAACACTCGGTTGACATCTCTTAAATAAAGCCTTTTGTGCTAGTAATTTGATCTGGTGATCAACTCTGACGGACTGTTTTAACGCATAATTTTTTTTGCCATGATAAGATGAGATAAACATTCGCGCCTGAATAAAGTGCCCCATATAATAACATGTTTAATCAAGAATCTTCGGCGAAACTGCTTCACTGGCAACAAAAATGCAATTAGTACCAAGAACGATGATCTAAGCCTAAGGCAAGGGCGCTGCTTGCCAAACATTCGTAACTCACATTCATTAATTCATTTTCTTTTTGAAACTTTTGGAAGCGCTGAGATCGTGCTTCACAGACACGGGTAGTCAGTTGCCGCTCCGGTATGTTCTATAAAGTCGTTTATTTATGAGCCGTAAAAAATTACTAGCGATAAGACCCTCACTGCTAAGAACCAATCGAGATAACACATTTTAAGATAACACATTTTAACTCCGTTTGATATTCCAACCTGATTTAATTTCATTGAAATAAATCGTTGGTTATGACATTTGTTTCCGTTTGTGATTTTTCATTCTTGGACGTCCTGATCTAAAGGCGTGATAGGTAAACTTGTACTTTGAAGCTCTCATAGCTTGTAATTATCTGAAGTTATTACCGTCAGAGTTTGTTGTCCTGGCCGGTCGGTAGCATTTTTATCGTTGTTGCATAGCTGTAATATATTTTAGTAAGTTAAGTAGCTGCCAGCTCTACGGTAATTACATTGACGCTGGTCTTACATTTCCAAGTGTTATAAATAATATACCCAATCGTTAAAAGAAACAAATGAGGTTTACATTAATGTGCGACATTGAAAAAGATCTGACTGTGCTACTTTGGGTTCATTATAAAATTAATTTTAATGTGAGGAGACGCGAACATACACGCTGGATGGTCCTTTTCTTTCATTGTCCAACTTGATGCAGCACAACAATATATTTCATGAATATAATGAGGTTAATATTTTGGGTCACTGTACGCTGCGCCTCTTAAATTATATCTTTCAAAAATCGCCACTAATTTGATTTAGATATTCAAATGTTTCAATTTTTTCCAACAGCGACCGCCGACTATAAAATGCACGTACTCTGAGGTAGAAAAACTTTGCGAAGTTAAAAGCAAACACGACGGGTTAACGATTAATATGATTAAAGCTAAGTTGAGCGATTGAAATTTATCTCAAAAATACTTTAATCGGAACAACATTCATAGATTTTAGCGCGATATTTGCAAGAACGGCGAATGACCTATATATTGTTGTTCTTATATAATAATTATGTTTCGTGATTATTGGCTATTAGGGCTAGATAAGGCCCAGATGAACTGCTACTTTTTAATCAAATAACTCTGGTTACAAAATACCATTAGAAAATAGTGAAAATACATCAACATAGAGGAAGGAAGACTCGTAAAAAAAACAAGAAAACGAACGGCAAGACAACAGAAAATCATAGATTGCATTCAAAAAGTAGAAATTTCGCTCCAGTTTATGGAAGCTGAGCCCAAGATTACAAATACGTCAGAGAAAAAAATAATAACATGGTCAAACGACTGCAGAACATTCGGAAAATAAACAAACCTTAAATGGAACAAGGAAACGTAAAATTAACTAGAACAATAACGACAACAAAGGCAACAGGCAAATGTCGTTTACTCGGATAGTCATTAAACAATTCGATGTGAAAAAGTTCTCATTCATGGAACATACGAATGATAATTTCGCTAGGATAATTAGCCTTAACATTCAAATAAAACGGAATTCCTCAACATTTTCCGATAATACACGATTGGTACGAACAGAAGAATAGCATGTTAAACATGTTAAGCATAAATAGTAAGCCGAAAATGTATTTGTAGTTTCCAAAAGATGGTATGAGAAGTTATGCTCTCTGTTGAAAAGGGAAAACAATAAAATAGGCACAAAAAAATCCTCCGCAAACAAATAATGACAAACTCACTCATTATTCGGGCGTACAAACCAAGATCAGCATATCCAAAACAACCCCATTTTCCCTTAGTTTTCAACCCCATGTCTGACCAAGCTAAGTCCATGTTGTGTATAGGCTATCTACTGCAATATGAATATCCAGACATTCGGGCAGTGGATGGAAGCCGTGAAGACATTTGGGCTAGAGGATGAAGCCGTTAAGACATTCGGGCCAGTAATTTTCCTGAAAATAAATAAGATGGAAATTAAACAATGAAAAGTACAATAGATGGTATATATTAACCCTACAGCGATCGCGTGCAAAAACTGAACAGATTGGTCGCCAATTTGGTCGGTTTCGTTAAGATCGATTTCGTATCCTTACTGCTATTCCCACAGTAGGGTCAGTGATAATTCCTAACATAATAAAGAGTATAACTGACTCATCACAAAGCATGTAAAATTGTAACTCACTTCCAAATCACATGAAACCATATCAGGATCATAGCCGAAATCCCAAGGCATTGATTCTCACTAAAATTATTTGAAAACTAAAAAAATCAAAAGAAAATAAAAACTCTGCAAACGTTGCAAAATCGGGCAAACAAGAGAAAGTATCACCTGCATCACTTTGAATCAAAGGCGCGAAGAAAGGCAGAGCGGAGGTGATAAGTTTAATCAATAGCGTGTAGCTTGGGATGCCTGCAGTTTGTGGGGCACATCGCGGGTCTGTCGCCAAGTAAAGTTTCAAAGCGCGAAGCCCCGACACCACAGAAGAGCAGTCGCATCCGCAAGACGCGTGCACGTCGAAAATACTTGAATCGAAGACGCTTGCGCAGGCACCAAGGCAGTGACATTGCCCAGAACATTGCGTCGTGGAATTACAAAGAGAACATGTGAGCGAACGCTGTAGAGTCGACGCAGAACCTGGATCAGCAGCGGGCTGGCATTTTTGAGTATTATTGTTGCTGGAAATATTCGTGGTTGAAACATTATTCAAAGTTTTAGAGTCCCCACCGAATATTGAAGACGATTCAAAATGAACTAAGCTCAGTATAGAACGATCCTTTGCATTAGGCGTAGTCTTTTTCATGCTTGTGTTGCTCTGCGTGTTGGTCTGAGTTGGTGTTGTAGCTGCTGAATTCGACTTGTGTTCCGAATCATTTGAATCGACCAGCTGATGATAGGAGCAGTACACCTGCTTCATTTCGTAAATTGATGGCAAACCTGAAAAGAATTACTATATAAATATCTCAGCAAATATTTATTCCATGAAAACAACACCAATTTTGAAAATAACTGGAGCTCTTGCTTATGAGAAACTTGAATCCTGCTCAAGAATTTCATAAATTAGGATAAATTTAGAAATATGTTTACAAGCTCGAAACTCAACATTAGTTATTTCGAACAGTTGTTACCAAACAATCAGGTTAACACCCTTTAATTTTATAATGACAAAATCGAAATAAAATACCTTAAATTGAATAAAAAGTTGAACATATAGCTCAAACGAAAACATAAACTAAAAAAGTATTACGAATGAAGCTATTTAAGGTACTAAAAATGTCACCTTGCACGAGCGCGTTGACCTGCGAGTGTAGCACCACGAGTAGCGTTGCAAGAAGAACGATGTTACAGAGGCAGTCAGAAGAGAGCCAGTTTGGCTTAGCCAGCAAAACGCTGATAACGAAACGATAGAAAGACCTAACGCAATCTCGTACATCGGGCGACGCAAGGTCCTGGGACTCGCCCACCAAGTTTCGGAGTGCATAATAACTAGCTGCTGAATCCAAATTCTTTGTGAGCGCCACCACATCGCGAACAGTCTGAAGACGGACATTATTTTTTCTGTCATCGCCCTCAGCATTTGGGTTCCGCGGGGCATTGGGCAGAACTACGTCGCAAAAGTCGAGGAATCTCAGGCACAGGCGCCACACGAAACAGTCGTCTGTAAATACGTGAGATGTTAGATTCGGGTACAACTTTGTAATAGCATAGTTTACACTAACTCTGAAGTCTACAATACTTTGGTAAAGTAAGCGTATCTATAACAAACAAGTCACGGAAAGTTTTGCAAAAGATTATCAAAAACATTTGAAACAATAACAGCAGCATTAAACGATGGAATAAATAGTACGCGTGAAAAGTGCATGAAAAAGATGGGAATGTGAAAGTAAAAAGTGAGCAGAAGGGATGACAGAATTCGGAATACATAAATAAAAGTTTCAGATAAATTGGTGTAAAACACCAAGTGACATATTGATCAGCAAAAAACTGCAAAGTCAGACAAAAAAAACGAAACTTCGATCAAATCATACAAATTCGAAGTCAATGTAGTCAAGCACAAAAGAAGTGCAGAAGTAACCCGTCATATTGCAGAGCGCCTGTACGAAGGCGCGGTGCGCAGAGAGAGCGACGAGGCAGCGCATGAGGGTGGTGAGTTGGCGGTAGGTGGCGGCGCAGTGGCAGGCTCGGCACAGACGCTCCACCAGCAGCTGCGCCAACTCTGGCACCATCACCGCGTCGCGCTCGCTGGCGCTTTGCTGCACGCACTGCAGCAGTAGTGAGCTCGTCTTCAGGGCCTGGGTGATATGAAACAAATCAGTATCTTATATATTATAAACTTTCAGACTCTTACAACTGTTAATACTATATAAATTTCGTAACTATCCAACTCTTGTAACCATCCAACTTTCGAAACAATCTAACAAATATGACTTCCAACATTTTTTATTTGCATCGGTTCATGTTTATCTCTATTTAAACCAAATCAAATTTATTTTGTAACCGGTTTCAAGTTTTTTAATCACATCAATAGCAGTAGTATCAGTGGTGTCGGCGTTGATCAGGCCAAACCTGGCCTATCGCTCTAGTTAACGCACAATTTTTACAACATCATGGGATTTCAACCCAAACTTGCAGTTCTTAAGCACCCAGCCATCTCGCCAATTTAAACCAGAATTTTCATTCCGGCTGAAAATTCATTATGGGCACAACTGCAATCAGAAACTATATTAAAATATACCATAATGAAAGGGATGGACAACTATCAGGTGAAATATACGTACCATTTTGATGGTGACGTCCAAGGGGTAGAGTAAAAATGTTAATATTGTGATGGGCGCAGGCAAGTGATCGCAGCTGAAACGTAAAGGTAATAGATGCCTCAAAATAACAAGTGCAGACGTCATTACTTGAAGATGTTGTTGTGCTGTAAATTCGTCTCGCATAATAGCACTTTTCTTCTCTACGTTGCGGTAATATGCAGCTTCTTGGGCCAGCCATTCCAACACGCAATGAAATAGCTCTCTTGACGCATTATATTGTTCGCTAGCGCCTTTCTTCGATTTCGCTGGAGATTGGCACAATAATAAGAGAGTTTTATGATTAAAATTTTCCTTAGTAGGATCCTCGGCATAATCAACATCCATGGCGCAAACTTCTGATTGTTTAGACTTGGAATTGGATGGGTCTTTTGATGAATCTTTATTCTCGTTTTCAGTTTTACCAGAGTCTAAATCACCGATGTTGTTTTCAAGTATTTCATGAGTGAGGTCATACAAAAAATTACCTAACTTTTTCTTCATTCTTTCCCGTTTCTGCTTGAGCAGAGTTTCACCAGCGCCAACCCTCTTCTTGTCCATAATATTAAGTCCAATTGTGTCATTTTCAGTTTCTGCCATAGCGCGTACGCTTGAATTACCTTCTCCGGTTTCAGGTAGGTCTTCTTCCAACGCATTCTCGAATTTTCTGATAGCTGAATCCTGTAGGGAAGAGATTTATAGCTGAACATGAAACCAAGCACAAAAATGTTTCTCATTCTTCCATGTATAATATAATGGAAGAACAATTTTATTATAATTTATTAGTGTATAAAATTCTACTGGAATCCTTTAGAAGCACTAAGACGTTGTAATGATGGTTCTATAGGGAAACCGTGTACTTTATTCTTTATAATGCATAACGTTTAGAGGCTTAGTGATTGTAGTGATAAGCAAAGGGATTTCGTCCTTTTCTGATCTATAAATTATGAATACTCAGTTCCAGCATAAACATTTACGTTTTAAAATCTAATATTGTGTTATTATTATTATTTTATTACAATAATTTAATATTATTAATATAAATATTTTGGTTCTAATAGTTTATACTCGGTTAACCTACATTGAAGGCAAATTATTATACAAAGTTGTTCTCAGCAATAGCAAAATATGAGTGTCTATACGTCAGCCAAGAAGTAGACAATAAGTACCTAATCACAGAAAATTTACAATAAACATGATCACGATTGAAATTTTGCAAACAACTTTGAACAAAATTTCACACACTAGGTACTACGTGAAATCGAGCTCTCATTTATGAAAAAGTGGAGACGATTTCGAAATATCTCCTTTAATGACGCCAACAATAAATTTGTTAATGGAAATTCACCACAGCATCTTTGCTAAAATTTTACTAACGTTTTCATTTGAAATCATCACGATCAATTAGCAATAAGAAGGTCACATTGTTTGCAGACTCTGACATAACATTGCTTACTTCGCATTACTGTGGCCTTGGTTTAGAAATTAGAAACTTAAATAGTATATTTACCTGGCTCATGGCTGATAGCAATCTCATCCACTCCTGTGGCATAGCCTGAATATCAGTGATAGAAAATTCGACCACTTTAGTAATACTTTTCTCGTTATGGGATTGTTTGACCTTCAAAGCCCTTTTGATGCTCCATGTGTAAGGTCTCTCCATCTTTTCAGCTACTTTCACGTGCGCAATATTCTGTCCCTCAGTCCGAGATTCGACATCTTTGTCAGTCCATTGGCAGACAGAAGGGCAATCTTCGCTACAGAGACCACCAGATTCAATTTCCTTTCGACGGGAATTAGTGACTTGGTAAAGGTCTTTGAAAGTGGCTCGTTCTTGAGAAATGCTGTCATAATCTACAACTTTATCTTTTTTATTATCATCTTCGTGTTTGAAAGCAGCACATCTAGGGCCTTTTTTAAGAAGTTTTTCTTTCTTGACTGTAGCAGGCTTTATCTCAACAGAGTTAATGAAATCGGTGTAGTCGAACGTGTCTTTATAATTCCCTTCCATGTCACGCTCACAAAAAGCATCGGCATTCTCATCCACCTGGTTCAGGGCAATGCTGGTGTAAACAAGCTCGTGTTGCTTGGAGAAGATCACGTTTTGGGATGTAGTCTGATGAGATATTGTTAAGGTTTTAGCAAGTTGATCACGGATGTCAAATGTATTGAAGTCTCCAGTGGAACTGCATGAAGTTTCGTGAGCTGTCGTAGGACTGAAGCTCGTTGCACTTAAACTGCTGAGCATGGAGAGGCTCTCCAAAGAGCTCTTGTAGAAACCTGAAAAAAGTTTTTCTTCATTGTTTTTTTCCAAAGAAACGACAACAAAAAGGATTAGATGAATAATAACGGACATATTATTATCCCATTAGATAATATGAATGAAATGAATGAAAGGGAAATACAATCTTACCATGAATAATAAAGCAACACATGTAAAAGTTGATACATAAAAAAAAGGGCTTCCGCATTTGCACAGAATATGATAAAAGGCACATAATCTTAATAAGCAGAAAGAAAATATCGTTCATTCGATTACTAAACATAACTAAATAACAATTAAAGAAAGGAAAATACGGATTTTCTACATTCTTAACGAGCGATATACAGAGAACGTCTCAATGAAGATATCAGAAATAATATGAAATGAGCGCTGAAAATTCAATCAATGAAGTAATTGACCTGAAAAATCAAAATAAATAACATCAAAGGTATATAAATAAAATAAATAATTATGTATAATCGATTAAAAAAAAGATAAACGAACACATATCTCCTCTCTCTCATATGAAAAGCTCATACTTGAGACTAACCTCTCCTCTTACACAGATGAAGAGCTCATGGCTGAGACTCACCTCTCCTCTATCTCATATGAAGAGCTCATGGCTGAGACTCACCTCTTCTCTAACTCATATGAAGAGCTCATGGCTGAGACTCAACTCTTCTCTAACTCATATGAAGAGCTCATGGCCGAGACTCACCTCTCCTCTAACTCATATGAAGAGCTCATGGCCGAGACTCACCTCTCCTCTAACTCATATGAAGAGGTCATGGCTGAGACTCACCTCTCCTCTAACTCATATGAAGAGCTCATGGCTGAGACTCACCTCTCCTCTAACTCATATGAAGAGCTCNTAACTCATATGAAGAGCTCATGGCTGAGACTCACCTCTCCTCTAACTCATATGAAGAGCTCATGGCTGAGACTCACCTCTCCTCTAACTCATATGAAGAGCTCTTGGCTGAGACTCACCTCTCCTCTAACTCATATGAAGAGCTCATGGCTGAGACTCATCTCTCCTCTAACTCATATGAAGAGCTCATGGCTGAGACTCACCTCTTCTCTACCTCGCATGAAGAGCTCATGGCTGAGACTCGCCTCTTCTCTAACTCATATGAAGAGCTCATGGCCGAGACTCACCTATCCTCCTATAGACAGGGGCCACATGAACTTCATTCTCAATCAAAAGTTTCTTTTTTTCTGGCTTCTTAGATAAGACTGACGAAGTTGAAGGGAGTTGAGGCTTAGGCAAAGAGGATATAGAGGAATTGTTCTGTACTCCCAACAAACACTCTTCAGATGTTCCTGATGAAGCTTTGCTAGGAGACACACTCTGCAAAACTCGAGATGCAGCATTTGGGGCATCTTTACTGAAGTCGAACCTGGCAAAAAGATGATACAAATTCATATTTATCCAGTTAAAATTCCTGACTATTAAATTTTAAACTTGCAAACAAGAATGATAAAAAAGCATGGATAAACAGAACTAATTTACATGAATGATTAAAAAAGAGCAATATAAAAATATCAGCAATACGTAGTGCCAATTGTAGAGAAAAACAAAACATTCATGAAATTTGAAAAATGATTGAATTTTAAAACACTAAAAAGTAAATGACTTTTTCCAAATCTTAACTTCATCCAAACCTTAAATTATTAAGTTTAATCAGAATAAATATAGCTAGGCAGCAATAATAATAACAAATTTCAAAAGAGCATAATCGTCACTTTCCACAGTGGATCACAGAAATTTTCATTTACTAAGCTGATGAATTAGTATGCAATAAATTAATTTATTTGCATTACCCAGCCCAGCAGCAAGTGACGTTAATGATTGTTAATACTACTGCACAAATATTTGTTGTATTTGCAATGAGCTAAAGTGAGCAGAATAGAATATCAATAAACCTAGAACGAGGAAATCTTCGGGGTTCATCAAGAGAGGATTTGCTTGCAGCAGGAGCACAAGATTGGGGAGGAAGTGGTGCCCAGAATTTAGCAGGAGATTCTGAAGCTTCAGCTGCTGAATGCTGATGTTCATGATTATCAACCATCTCAGAATACATCTGCATCTGCTGTTGGTGTCTCTTCTGCTGCTGCATCTGGCCTTGTTCCAATCGCTTGCATTTTGTTGTAAGTTCCATAATTTCACGACTCTGAAATGAGCATTCATATAAAATTAAAATGAAATTATCGTCTTTTATAACTAATAACCCAATAATTGCTTTACCTCAGTAACAAAATAATCAATGTGTATTGGAATTACTGCATTAAAAGAAAAAAATTAAAGGTGACACAAATAAATGATACATGACTTTTGCAATGGATACTACATAGAGCAACAAGCTTAATGGCCCTAAATTAAAAAGTATTCTTGTTAATTTCACATCTTATGGGTAACAACTCTTTAATTTTCATACAAAGAGTTACTGATTTAAATCAAACAAAACATCAAAATGTTAGCTTAAACACAGTATTACAGATCGATTCACCTTGAAGGCCAATTCGCCATGAAATTTTTCTAGACGCTTTTCTAGTGCACGATATTTTGCCTGACCCTCAAGAGTAGCAGCAGCAACCTGCAAAATTTCAAAAAGAACCTTAGACAGTAAATACAATTAAAAATTTATAATGAATAATAAAATATAACTTAAAAAGATAATTTTTGCAAAAATATTTATCTTTTTGCATAAGGATAGTGAAATAAATATTCATAATTATCCTTTTGATATGCATTTATTACAATTAAGCAAACTCCTATTGACAGTGTTAGGAAGCTTACTGGAAATTGCTTAGGTTCACATTGTAGAGTTGAATTTGATTATCCAGAAAAAAGCAAAAGAATTTGACCAAACCAAAACACACTTTTTACCCAAATAGTACTGCAAAAAATACAACATCAAAAAGATAATGCATCATGAAGGTGTCATTTCAGAAAGAAAATTAAATGAAATGGCGAAATGAAAGTTTTAATAAAATTGATTGCCAAGTACAGTACTGCAGACCTTATCAGATAAATCTTTTTTGTGGGATTCATCAGCTCCCATTCGGGCCATACGCTCTGCATCAAGAGCCAGACTTTTCCGCTGTAGTTCACTGCGCAACCATGACACCTGTAATACAAATAGATTTTTAAAAATACCCAGTTAGCCTTGGTATGATTCATTATTGACAAGAGTTGAAATAACAAGCTGGATTTTAAAATTAAACAGCTTTATTGGCACCAAAAATTTATTATTCCTCTAATTGTGAATGACTATTATTTATTGTTGAGAATGATGTTGGAAGTTTATACATGATTTTTAAGGTTTCTGGCATATAAATACTTAAAACTAACATCTGAAGTGAAACTAACCTCTCCACATTTTGTCATTATTTCCTTCTGCAGGTTTGCAACCAATTCTTCCATTGAAGCAAGGTTAAGATGTGCATCAGTTGAGTTATGACAGTTTCCATTTTTGATAGTTTGAATCCCACTAACTTGGGAGCCAAGATGGTCCAGGACATTTGATTGGCCTTGCTTAAAGTTCATTGGCTTCAAGAAATTATTTGATTGAGATCGAATTGAGTCATTTGACACAATTTCTGGTTGTTGTTTAATGGTGTTTGTTCTTTGGCTTGCATTTAATACAAGGGTTTGATGCAATGATTTTGTAGAAGTTGCTGGCGGTTTCATTTGGAGAGCTTGGCAGCCACTGGTAGGAGCAGGTGGCATCATTGAAGAATTTTTGATGCTCTGACCACATTTTATAGCTTGACTTCCTTTGCTAGGACTTGTAGGGGAAGAATTAAATACTGAAGCACAAATTCTGTCTCCATGAGCACTACGTGCAAATTTGCTGGATGGCATTAGAGCATTGCTTGAATCAGTGTTAAGGTTGGATGAACTGAATTTGAATTCATTGGTACTAGAAACACTTACTGTATTTATTTTATGATTTGTGTTCACAACAGGATATTTGCTAGGAGCTGATTTATCAGGATGTTTTGAAAGTTTGTTTTGATTCTGCCAGCGCTGTCGTGGCTGGGTCCCTGGAATTGGCTGAGATGATAAGAGATCTGGATCAATCCCATCAAATGAATCTAAAAATTTATTTGAGTTCAGTTCATCATCAATTTTTGAGCTGTCCTCATTTTTTGGACTGGCTTGATCTTGGGAAGTAGGGGAGGATATTTCAGGAGATTCTACATCAAAAATATTTGGGTCATCAAGAAAGGTAGAGTCATCCCACACATTTGGATCTTCCATCAATGCATCAATTTCCATCTGTTCAATTTCATCAATGACTTTCTTTGATGTTGTTGCACTTGAATCCAAGGATTTCTGCAATTTTGTTTCCGTTACTGAACATGCTTCATTGCCAATGTTTGTGCTGAAATTTGCATCACCTTTTGCTTTTTGAGCAATGACATGGCTTGTGCCAGCAGCTTTGTTCTGAGATTTGATACTAACAACTGAAGCACCATCTATTCTCAATTTATTACCAGAGGCTGTAATTGAAGGACCTGGCTTTCGACCAAAAGGATTGTGGCTTTGTGCTAAACTCTTGACAGAGCTCATGGGAAGTTGAGACGTAGAATTGTGCTTGAGAACAGTTTTGGCAGTACTTGGAGGGATGAGAGGATCCAGCAAGTTGGGGCACATCTGACTTGCTTTAAGTATTGATGCTTCAATATCTGCTTCATCAAAATCATCATCCCACAAATCTTCATGGTTTCTAGCCATTATTTCATAAAAAATAGAAAAGTATCTGCAAAAACAAACAGAAAGGGGAAGATAGTATGAGAAAAATGCTTCAGTGCTCCCAAATCCCCAAATTAAATTAGAATTTGTCATGAACTATATACTTGGCTGCCAATACATCATTTGATTTTGCTTTTTCATACAGAACAATTAATTACCATCTTTGTACACACAATTTTCTTTATACATACTGTCAAACGGGGTAAACGGGGTAATAAGGGACAGTCCTCCAACATTTTTTAGAAATGTTGTAGGAGCTAAACTAATCAAAATGTTGCAAAACTAAAAATAGTGGCATGAAGTTCAACATTTTTACTATCTATGTAGCATCAAGCAAGTTGAGAAATCATGCATTTATTATCTCTAAAAAATCCCTGAAAAAAGTGTGAAAAGTGAAATTTTGGAAAAGTACCTCTGCTAATAAGGTCAATAGCAGAAAAAATATTTGTCATATTAAAAAATTTTACTTGCATAAAAGTTACACACTGGTGTTGGCTTAAAAACGTGATTGACAGAATTTGCCTCTCTCATTCCAAAAAAATGGCAGCCATTTTTGCAAGACGGGGTAATAAGGTATACCGTAAAATGGGGTAACTTAGACCACTTTTTTTTAAATGATGCCATTTTTTTACTAGCTAAATTAAACTTAAATTGAAACATGCAAAATACAGGTCTATACTCTAGGTTCCCTTACCATAAATTGCTGGCTCCTGCCTCTCATAGTTTTTATGTAATTTCAAAAAAAAAGTGATGGTCTTTGTCACCCCAGCTCTTGGGGTATCTTAGACTGGGTGGTAAAATCAATTTTATTTTTTGGTAAAATAACTCCAAATAACTCCAGGTTTTAGTGCATTGTAGTAGAACTCTTCTAGTTACATATGCAAATGACAAATTTGAGGAAAGTGTCATACCGTCAACCGGGGCTACTCGGGACGGGCGAGGCTACTCGGGACAGTCCTCCGACACGGCGTAAAACTGTTATAGTAGCAAAACTAATTGGAATATTGCAAAACTAAATATAGTGGCGTAAACGTAAACATTTTTACTATCTATGTAGTATAAAGGAAGTCAAAAAATACTACATTTACCAGCTTTGAAAAATTCCTGAAAAAAATGGTGAAAAACACTATTTTGAAAAGTTACTTCTGCTAAGGTCTGTAGCCAAAAAATATTCGCCGTATTAAAAAATTTTACTTACATAAAAGATGTACCCAGGTGTCGGCTTGAAAACGTAATTGACGGAATTGTCCTATCTCATTCCAAAAAAATGGCGGCCATTTCCGCACGGCAGGGCTACTCGGGACAACCCCCCAGGGCTATTCGGGACACCCCCAAAAACGCATTTACAGTAGAACCTCAGTAAGCAAAGGCTCCAATCAAGAAAAAAATGGATTAAAAACAAATAATATTGATTACATTTACCTTGCTTGGCGAAAAAAATTTCACTTATCGAAAAATTAGTGCATCATCGGTCATCACAAAAATCGTACATAGAATGCTATATATATAATTGTGCACCGGGCATCATAGAATGAAAAGTAATTGACCTAAACTATGATTTATTTCTCCAAAATATATGATGGTTGTCACTAAAACATTCCTTTCTGTTTCAGGTGTGTTTTTCACGATCTTTTTTTATAGTAAATTCACTTAACCCAATTAAAATGGCGCATAAACGAGCACATGGCGCATAAACAAGCACTATTGTGCTTGCCATATCCGTCTGTCTGTCTGTCCATTTGTCTTTGACCTCAAGTTTTTGTCAACGCGAAAATGCGCGCTCTGTCACTCACTGCAGTGAGTACTGAGTTATTTTTATAGTAAATTCACTCAACCCAATTAAAGTGCTGTGAAATTACAAGCCGTCCTGTGAGCTTACAGATACAGAAAAAATGCTATAAGGCTGCTGATATGAAGCTTGCAGTGGACAAGGTTGTTCTAAATGCTCAATGGCATGTTCATGGATACGGTAATATCACATCAATAATACAGTAATATCGCATCAATAATACGGTACCGTCAACTGGGGTGACTTCGGCCTCGTTTTTGATTTTGTTTTGCAAACAAAAGCGGGGTCATAAACGATGGCCAAAGTCACTCCGGCGTTTATGACCTTGTTTACCGCCCTGGCGTTTATGACCCCGGCATTTACGACCCCATTTTTTGCAAAACAAAATCAAAAACGCGGCCAAAGTTGCCCCATTTGACGGTAATTAATGTTTATGATAATATCATCAATAAAGGAAAAACAAGTAAAAATCACTGAAAATGTCATTTATTCTACCTCTACATCATCTACAATGAAAGAGGAGGACTTCAGAGTACTGTTAGTAATGGATGAGTACAATCTGCATGCATCAAATATTTTAAAATGAAGTTTTATTGCAAGTGTCCCGAGTAGCCTTATTCGATGGGGCTACTCGGGACACCCTTTTTTTGCTCCTGGCACCTTAGGAATAGCATATGGAATTTTTTTGACAATGCCATTTGATAGCCCTTGCAAAGAGCTATAAAATGAGCCTAAACTTGTTTATGAAATGTTTCATCGTAAGAAGTTATTAACCGTTATCAACAAAAAACGCTCAAAACTGTCCCGAGTAGCCCCGGTTGATGGTAGTTTGCAAATGGGGGGCACTGCCTCTGAATGGAGGAACTTAGGTCTTAGACCACCTAATGTCAGCCGTGAAGGGGTAATATTGACCGGCTTGGAAATTAAGCAAAAATTACCATATATAAGACTCTGTATAGTCTGAAACATAAAGAAAAAACATAATAGGTGTATCAAACATGAAACATGTTATACATATACGGTAATTTTAAATTAATTTCCAAGCCGGTCTATGTTACCCCGTCAGGGCTGACATTAGGTGGTCTAAGTTCCCCCATTGGGGGGGCAGCGCCCCCCATTTGCAAACTATGACACTTTATTAAAATTTGTCATTTGCATATGTAACTAAAAGAGTTCTACTACAATGCATCAAAACCTGGAGTTATTTTACCAAAAAATAAAAAATTTTGAGGGGGTACTCTGACAGGCTTTAAATAATAGCTTTTTTGTGGGTCACATTTTTAATTTTCTAACCTATTAGATATGCAAACTTTTTAAATCTTTCTATTGTGTTATGTAGCCTCAGTATTAGGCCTTTAATGCTCATTGACAAAATTTTTCTATGTCAAATAGTTTTTGAGTTTTGGGGGTTTTTGTTAAAAAAATGAAAAGTGGTCTAAGTTACCCCATTTTACGGTACCCCCCTTATGAAGCTTGCAGTGGACAAGGTTGTTGTCAATGCTTAATGACATGTCCATGGATACAGTAATATCACATTAATACGGTAATGTACGGATAAGGTAATATCATATCAATAAAGAAAAAACAAGTAAAAAATCACAGAAAATGTCATTTATTCTACTTACACATCATCTACAAAGGATGAGGAAGACTTCAGAGTACCGTTAGTAATGGAAGAGTACACTCTGCATGCTTCAAACGTTTTAAAATTGAGTTTTATTTTAAGTGTCCCTTATTACTCCATTTCCAAGTTAATTCAGAAGGCTTTTATATTGCGTTTAGCACCTTACAAATAGCATATGGAATTTTTCAGAGATGCCATACAATAGCCCTTGCAAAGACCTTTAAAATGAGCCCAAACTCCTTCATGATATGTTTCATGGTAAGAAGTTGTAAACAAAAAACGCTCATAACCATTCCTTATTACCCCATTTGATGGTACCATTTACCATCTTGGTAGTTGGTACATACATTTGTGAACGAATAAGAATAGTTCATGGTCTTTTTAGACATTTTTACTCATTTCAATTTGTTTAAGCTAGGTGATAAATTATACTACATGTATGGGTTTTTAGCAAAGCCAGTTGAATAGCTTAGACTTCCAACCCATTCAGGGAAGATTGGTCTCAGAGAGAGGTGACAAGGGCGATTCCTTTTATGAGCTAAAGTTGTATCCTGCTAAATCCTGACCATGGTAATGACAAAACAGAGCCAGTTTTTGCTACCTGTTGATCTAATTTCTAACTGACTTGCAAACCTACTCCTACCTAGTACCTACTTCCTCTGACCTCTTCCTGTGACAAGAAGAGGAGGGGCGAGAGAGCCAGCCAGGTTCTTGAAATTGAACTTGAACACTTATCTAATATGCCTACTCGTGGAAGTCTTGGTATAGAGAAAAGTGCAATACAAAATCAAGTTAGTGAATGAATGAGTGACAGAATGACCGTACCTAATAGTTTACAATATTATGTTTAAGCACGAAATAAATCATTACGTTGATCACAATTCACAGAGCACAATTGAAAGATGCTTGCTGTTGAATCTTGGATAAGTTGGATTGCTATGCAGGATCTACCCGACCAGCGACCTCAGTTCACAATTCCGGTGTTCACAACGAGTTAAACTCTTCTGCTTCGATCTGACTCCAAAAGATCTTGTTATAATAATTAAGTAGTCAGTTGTCGAGGATACAAAACTGATTTACACTAATTATTTCTTTATTTCACTCAAATTCTCAAGCTCCCCAAAGGTTGACCATCGAGTTTATTAATGTCATTCATTTGCAACGAGCCAACGTTAAAATTTGCCATCGTGATTAAATCGATTTCGACTGGAAATAGGAGCTACGGGCGGTAAACTGGCTACGAAAACGCATTGACCAAAATACCGAGCAAACAAAGAAATATTGGGCTATCAAACATCTAACATAATTTCGACTCTACAAACTCCAAAAAAATATAAACAAATGAAATCTCACACTTGCTGCATGAACGCCGCGGACTCTCTCAGACCGCCACTTTCTTTCTTCTTTCTTTCTTATTTATTCTTATAGGAGCACTGGAAACTAGTCCATAAAGCCCCTTGCCTAAACTGAGTTTAATTTGTACCTAACTGTTTTAACAGCTCTGAAAACAAAAACCTGAAACAGAGAGAAAACACACACACGGAAAAAAGAAAAAAACAAATAATAAAATAATAATAATAATATTAATAAATAACT